CGTCTGATACTTGAGCCGTTTGTCGGCCTGTCTGTCTGTCTGTCTGTTTCCCGCTCCTGCATGTTCACCTACCTGCAGAATGATTACGTGTGCCCCACAGTAATCGGGTTGCAAAATTTACTGCGTGCTTATTTTCCTACTTGACGGGGACCCAATCTCTATTCCAAACGGTATGACGAACAAAAAGAATGTACTCAAAACCGTATATTTCAATCGATTGCTCAAAGCGGAAAAATTGATTGTTAACCACCCTTGAATGTCATCTAAGGCCTGCCCGGATTTAAGTGGCGTATTCTTGGGTTCCCCAGATTGGGGGTCTCTGAGTTCCTAGAGGGATTTGAGCCAAACGATTTTTATTATTTATGCTGTATTTCTGCCGTCAGTTATGCCTGCCTCCGAACACCAATCGGTATTTATGCGCGCGCTATACAATTGTCTCAATATCCGGTACTTTGTTTCTCCCAACCGCAATGAATCTGCCCGCTGCTTTCGTAAGGAAATAAACTTTGACTGAAAATAGCTTAAGACCGATGATTGTGTGTGTGTGTGTGTGTGTGTGTAAATAATGCAACAATGCAACATTTTACAGAATAAACCATTCGGATTGTCCTCCTCATTCTGTCAATCCCCGGTTGAATTTTCCACTTGGTTTGTAAATATCAACAGCATTATAATAGCCGCAGCGAGTGAAACTCGAAGCCTCATCAAGTTTCGGTAGTTGTAAGCCCCCTCCCCTCCCCCGATCGGTTCGCATGCGCACGCTGACACGATCGTTGCCGGCACTAATCCCCTGAGGGTTTATCTTATCCCCACTCATCTGAGTGACATCAGCCACTCACTGACTGTGCCATTTGGTCGTCTGACCCTTTATGCTGAGCGTATGCGTTCGGTGCATCATCGACGGTTTGGGGGGGGGGGNGGGGGGGAGCAAATGTGTCTAGACGGACGAGAAAGTATTAGGCTCAGGTACAAAACTCACCGTGACTAGATTCTGCCACTTTGTGACCATAAATCACTTTTCGTTGGCACTGTTTCTACTGTTTACGAATGACACGTGCATGTCCATGTGTGTGTGTGTGTATGCCACAAATGCAACACAAAGCTGAATACCTCTTCCGTCCCCCGATACGGTTCACACGATCTTGGGAACTCGACTCCTTGTCCGTTGGAGCAGGTCTGAGTGGACCGACTGCTGGACATGCAGTACTTAACTCTCCTATACTGACTGACTGTCGTCCACGCACACATTGGCGGCAGGGATCCTTATACCTATCTCGTCAGTTTCTTCATTGCCCTCATCTCTATCTCCTTCCTGCGGACTAGCGATTCTTACACAGTCGACCTGGATTAATGATGAGGCATCACAAGCGAGTGTTCATCCTGGTCGGAGGCATCTCTTCATCCTACCCTCACGGTAACCACTCCCTACCATGACAAATGGCATTTCAGACACATCTATCCTGTTCCCTACTGTGCGCGGGTGATGGGGCTCCTTTAACAATCCAGTTGTATTGTATCCGTGTCACACTGTAACAATTGACAGGTCTACAAACTCCTACAGCGCTTCTCCGTACGGTTTCCAGTGTTTATTATGCACTTAAAAATTCGATGTATTGGAACGGGCATCGGTAATTGGCTGTAGTTTTTCTGTGGATAGATATATCGTTACTTCGCTTCCCTACGCGAGTATAGATGGACCAATTATTGTGTGTGTGTGTGTGTGTGTGTGTGTGTGTGTGTGTGTGTGTAATGAGAAGAGACGTCAGACAGCAAGATGGAGAAATCTAACCATTCCTAGTTTATTGTATGAGTAACAGAAACATAAGTTCTATACACTGAAGATTAAGTAAAAAGGAACCGAAACGATCTTTATGGTGATACTATGTAGTTGATTGCATCGGTGGGATGGCAAATTTTGCAATATCTCTGTGTACCTTGTACACTTAGATGTTCTGTTGCTATAGCCCCTGGAGATGCAAAGGAACAAGAACAAATGCATACGTAGAGAGAATGTTTTTTCTGGGACAAGCGACTGTGTTCCTATCTTATTCCAAAAATCCTTAATGGTCAGATTATGAAGCGGACGGACAGAAATTTATTATCGCTGTTCATACGATATGACCATAGAACTTTAAACAACTGTTTGCCTTCAAATCGTAAACCAATTTGTTTGCATTACACTACAACGTATATTTCTGTACCGTGCAAACGATCCTTGTTTTGCCATATCTGTTTAATTCACATGCACTCGGTTTGCTGCCGTCGTCGATCACAAAGGTATTCCGATAAGAAATGTCTCTCTCTCCTGGCCATAATTTCGTGACCGGCGAACGCACAACAACTTTCAGTAGTATTACATAAGCTCTCAAAACTGGCACCTTCTCTGCTTCATTCTGATTGACCTTGCTTCAGGCTGCGTCTTCACATTCGCTATCGGTTGAATATTCATTGGGGGGAAGCACGAGACTCTATTCTCACCGCTATTGGAGCTGATCAGTAGTGCACATTCACTGTCCCGTCCGGGATTGGAACTTCGAACCCCTCGTCTGGAAGGCGTGCCAATCGGCTCACACCGACCAGAAGACGTTCCTACTCAAGCTTACCCAAGTGCTGTATTCAATTATATTCAATTAGTCAATTTGGCCTCATGGCGATGAAAGTAGACACTGGTGGTTAAGTTCGATCGAAAGCGTTCCATCAAATTAGCTCTTTCATACGTCTTGTCACCGGCCACCGAGAGTTCATCCAGTCTGTTCATTCTCAAACCATTAAAGTCTAATTTTCTCGAGCAGACATTTACGAACAGAAGGGATGAACTCAATCATTGGCTGGTCTCTCCGCTGGCGGTTAAATCTGGGTCGGGAATCAGAAACAATCATTCGTTTTTACGTGTCTGAGTGTTCCACATCATTTGTTAGAACACACACACACGACCACCTAGCTGACTACGGATTCGGCTAATCAAATTGAGTTATTTTGTATGCACAGCTACTGTTTCAAAAATGCATACTACACTCATCGGCCATCCCCGATATCATTCGAGACACCTAGCTCTACCTTCCTCTGCTCCACCTAGATGAACTCTCTGTATTACACCGGAAATGTGTATCTTCCCACTTCAAGCAAGTATCTTGATTGCACAGATGTGCTCTAACTAAACCACACACACACAATTCTCCAATTCGAGATCAACGCGAGTGTGGGTGTGGTTCTTTGATCTGACTGCATTGTTGCCCCGTTGTTCAACCTAACCGAAAGCACAAGTCCAGTTGTAGAGGTAGATTATCATGCAGAGTGAGTGCCATGATGACTGGAGATTGGTTGCAATGTTGTGAACAAACATCTCCGCGTTGGACGTCGCCTAGACCGAAACAGGCCAAAAGGTGCACCTAATTTGAATAGACAGGTGGTGCTGGTAAATTTTTTTCGGTTCCGGTGTGAAAAAAGGAGATTAGCATTTTCCTAAAACGATTGAAAACGGTCACTTGGAATAAACTCAAACTGGTTCTGTTTTCAGCGTTGTGATGGATTTGAAACGCCAAATTCATTCTGTCATCCTCGTGATTCCCATGCATTCAAGTACTTACGTTTACAATATGTGGCGCTTATACTGCTCAATAAATGTTACCTTTTTCCATAGATTCATACTTTTACACTCTCAGTTGTTTAAATCAACCGTACCGTACTCGCTAATATTGGAATATACTGTTATTTTTTCCGTTTCGTATCACCAGCAGATATGTGCCCGATCTGGATCGTCTTCCCCTGTTCGTCACACGACTTGGCACGGAAGTCACCTGGACGGAGGAGGCTGTCTGTTTTGAGAATCTATGTCGCATTCTGGCCGATTTCTACGCCATACATTCCCCACTCATCCCACAATCCACAGACACATCTGAGGTTGATGCTGCCTTGACCAGTCGGTCGTCTGAGGTCAGTTCATCGAGCACAGTACCTTGGCGCTGGATGATTGAACACGTCGTGTGGCCTGCAGTCGCCACCGGGCTTTGGCCCGCTCGTGGTTTACTGTACGAGAGTCCACCAATTGCGACTCCCGGGCAGGAAAAAGTCCCTTCCACAGCCTGTTTCCGGTTAACACGATTAGCGGATTTGTACAAGGTGTTCGAACGTTGTTGAAATCTGCAAGGACTCCCCACAACCAAAACCATATTCAGAGTAGTACATATTTTCTTTCAAACTCCTCAACCAGTATCCCGTGTGTGTTCATGTTTCGTTCTTGTGATTCGATCAGTGACTGTAATCACGGTCACATGTGAAGGGCTGCAGTGACTTTCCCTAGGTTTGAGCCCGTGGTTGATACGTTTACGTTTGTCTATCTCATTCTGGATGGCTGACTTTCTTACCACGGTGAGTGTGAATTGCATTGAATTGAAATACAAAAATACTGGTACTTATTCGGTCTTAAAAACATCTTTCTCGAATCGATACTCTATCGAGAATGATTTACATAGTATTATGCCGTGTAGGACTTGGGAATTCTAAAGCGAGAAACGCCACAGTAAGCCACGTATCTGATTCGTTCATTTGTTCTGCTTCGTGTAAACAGAACTTCACTTGGAGATGGTATAGGGTTCAGAACGCGAGAACCGTGGTCATGGATTAATAAAACCCAATGTTTCGGTGTGGTGGATTACTTCAACCGCCACCCAGGGCATGATCACCACCTATTCATTGAAGTCATACGTGGGAGCCCCCTGCCTTTGAGGTACTGTCTCAGGCTCCCATGTGCCGCATTGGTTACTTTTAAATTCGCAATATGCGCAAAGCAACTACGAACGGGTAAAGGGAATGAGGAGAAGACCTGTTTTGAGGTAAGGGAGAAAGATGAGTCTCTATGTTCAACGCAAAGTACACATAATGAACTGGAACGCTGAATTAGGACCCTTCGGATGAATGTCACTACTGTCGACGAGGTGAACTAGTTATTTCGCTATAGATTCTCACTAATGTTATAATGCCAAAAGGCGGTGCTGATC